AGAATGTATGAGTGTTTGTGTGTGCGTGTGTGTGTTTCTGAACATGTTTCTTTGGAGACAGGTGCTGCCTGTTTCTTTCAAGGTAGTAGAATAGGGAAGCCATTCTCTTCAAAGCCTAAAGCAGGATGTGTATCTTTGGAGTTTGGAAGTCACACATGATACTGCTCAAAGTGCATAGGGCAAAAAGATGCAGTATTGGTGAAAATTAAAATAAATAGGGTAAATTAAAAAAAATGGTATGTCATTTCTAGGTAATAGAAATAGATTTATTATGTCATTTTAAAAAAATGAAATGACATTTTTAGAGTCATAATTATATGTGTGTATGTATATGTATATATATATATATATATATACGACAAACACACACATTTATTTAGTTTTCTCATTGAATTGGAGAAGAAAAGCCTCAGTTCCCATTCCTTTCTTGTTTCTGACCTGACCCCTAAATTTCTGTAATTAGAAGTGACCTTGAAAGATGCAGGCCCACAGAAAACTCATAAATTACTCTCCTCTTTCTCTCGCTTTCCTCTCTCTTCTCCTCTCTCTCTCTTCTTCGCTCTCCTCTTTTCTCTTCTCTCCTCTCTCCTCCTTGGTGCTGCTCTGCAGCATCCCTCCCTCTCCAGTAAAGACCTTTCATACAAAAAATAAAAAATAAAATTCATAAATTAAACAACTAAATGCATGCCTTTGTCTCTGGTTACAAGTAGAATAAGCCAATCCTGCCAACTTTAGGAAGACTATGGCAGAATATTTAAACTGGAATAAAGGGGTGGGGGTAATCTTGGCAATCCATGCAACCTCTCTCAGCCTCGGTTCATTGAAATATCAAATGAGGACTTATTTACTCTCCGTACATCTCATAGATGCTGTTGCAACAATCCAAGTCAGAAAAACTCCAGGCATCTACACATGGATTCCTTATCCAGTGGGACAAGGAGGAAAGTGAAGAGCCCCCTGAGTGCTAAGACAGGTAGAAGGGCACAGGAGGAAAGCTGTCTGGCGGGGTGCCGTAGCTTGTGTGGGTGCAGTGGTCTGGCACAGGCTGTCAGAACTCAGCAGTGACTGCAGCAATTGTTAGAGCTAAGAGAAACAAGCAACTGTTCAGGAGGAAAAATGTTTTATTAATGACATTCTTTAGATTTCTTGATGCAATGTGGTAATAAACTGTAGATTGTTTTAAAATTATCTACATATAAAGTATCCCCTTGCTGCCAGCATCCTGTGGACTGCTTCCTCTGGTGGCCTTGGGCATGCCTCAGGCCTGAGTCATTTATTTGTTTATTCATTCATTTATTCAATTGCCACAGGATCTTGCTCTGTTGCTGGGACAAGCGTGCAGTGGTATCATCTCACTGCAAACTCAAACTCCTGGCTCAGGTGATGCTCCTGCCTCAGTCTCCCAAGTGTCTGGGACTACACGTGCTCACTGCAAAACCCAGTTAATTTTTCTATTTTTTGTAAAGACAGGGTCTAGCTCTTGCTCAAACTGCTGAATTCATATTGACACAAACCAATAAATATATAGAGAAAAAAGAAGAAGTTTGATAAGGACTGGGATAATTACAATGGTCCCTAAGTACTTTCGCATGGGATAATTACAACGGTTCCTAAGTACCTTCACATAATTTTATTATTAATTTTAAAAAGGAAAAGAATAGATTTATGATGGAGAAGAATGGCACATACCACTTTAATTACTTGATCAAAGCGAACCATCAGTACAGGGACAAATTAAAATCATGTACCATCTGGTGGAATGTGATAAGAAGAACACAGCATTATTATTATTACTATTCTGCTGCCAAGGTTGCAGAATCTGAATTTAATTATAAGGCAATACATCAGGAAAAGCCAAATTAAGACATATTCTACACACTAAGTAATCTGTAAAAAAAAAAAAAACAACTTTCAAACAAAAAGTGAAAGGTCATGAAGGTTAAGGAAAGACTGAGAAACTGTTTCAAGGGGGCTAAAGAGACATGACAACCAAATAATGTACATTGTTCTGAACTGGATCTTTCTTCAATAAAGAAAATTATTACAGGCCAGCTGTGGTGCCTCATGTCTGTAATCTCAGCACTCCAGGAGGCTGAAGCCAAGCTCAGGAATTGGAGACCAGCCTGAGCAAGAGCAAGACCCCATTTCTACTAAAAACAGATAGATTTGCCAGGTGTTGTGGTGGGTGCTTGTAGTCCCAGCTACTCGGGAGGCTGAGGCAAGAGGGTCTTGAGCCCAAGAGTTTGAGGTTGCTGTGAGCTATGACAACATAGCACTCTACCCAGGGTGATTGAGTGAGACTCTGTCAGGAAAGGGAAGGGAAGGGAAGGGAAAGGAAGGGAAGGGAACGGAAGGGAGATATTGTTTAAGAGTTAATTTCTTGATTTGGGCAGTTCCATTGTGGTTATATGTATAGGAAAACAATCTTTGGTACGATATATACATTAAAGTATTGGAATGTTAGGGTATCATGTTGGTAATCTACTCTCCTGGGTTTAGGAAAAAAATGTTAATATTTTACTGTACCTGCAGCTCTTCTGTAAGTTTGCTATTGTTTCAAAATAATAAAAAGAAAAAAAGTGAGACTCAAAATGTTATATAACCTGACTACTACCCAGATGGGTAGTAGTTGGTAGCTCACGATTGAAACTCAGGGGCATCTGCCCCTAAAGCCATATCCTCCACTTCCAGTACAAGGTCCTGGTGTCCTAGCTGGCCTCTGCTCCTGTTTGTCACCTGCAAAACAGCCCTCCTTCCCTTGGCGGAGTTGGTGAAGCTGCACCCCTCTGCTCAACTCTATACAGGACCTGGCTCCCCCATCCATCCCACACCTGGGCCAGAACCCACCTCAGGGTGTGACAGGCAGCACCAGAATGTCTGAATGTATAACTGGCTCTATGAGAAAATTACAATGACTCCTGTATTTTTTTTTTTAATAATTCTTTTTCTCCTATGTTTTAGATTCTCAGGCCAGTAGGGCTTGATGACCAGAACCCTGTACTTTTAATTAACTACTTGATCATTTTGAGTTGTTTCCAGAAATGGTGGAATTGAGATTCCCAAGTCCCCTATGCAGACTTCCTGATGCCAAGACTCGCCATCTCTCACTAACACGCCCCAATGCACACGGCTGCTGCTTAAATGCCCCTACTCTCTCAGTTGTGGGGAAGGATTTAAGGCTGCTTACCCTGTTCTCCTAGCTGATATCATCAGCATTAAAAATTCCTTTCTTCTTTTGCAATCCTTGTTGTCTCAGTAGTTGGCCTTATGTGAGACAAGTGACCAGACTTAGACTGGAACCCTCCTCTTGGGTTATAAGAGCACACAGAGCTCCAGATCAGTGCTGCCTGGCTTCCTGCCTCTATGAGTGGGATCCATTAGCTGAGCTTCCCCTCCCTAAAATCCACAATCTCTGGGCATCTCAAGATTTTTCAGTAAGCATGAGGATGTTTCCTTGTCTCAGTTCCCCAGTGTTACCCACAGTTAGAGAGCCTTTCCTAATCTAGTCCCTTCATTGGGGGATTTCATCAATTGGCTTCATACATCATTTGACCACTTAAAATAATCCCCATGGCAGGTTCCCAGACATCACTCACAGCCAATGACAGATGCTGCTGGTTTCCTTCCAGGTGCTTTGCTGCCTCCTGCAGCTGAGCCTCCAGGGCAGAGGGAAGTGGGGGCATGCATTGTGTTTTCTTAGCCCTTTGTCCATGAGCCCACTGACTACGTTGTAGGCATCTGAGGCAGGGGTGTTTTAGGTGGCTCAGTAGTGAGCCAGGTTCCAGGGAAGACAGTTTGCTCCTGTTCATCCTGACCACTTCAGCTTGAGCCATAGCCTCTACCCTGTCTAGAAACAGACAAGGAAGCAAATGAACCTTCATTGGTGCTTGGGTAAGGACTCTCATCTCTCACTGCTAAGGAAGTGTGTTAGTGGAGGTGGTGGTGGGGATGCTGGCTTCTGCCATGGGAGATTCCCTTCTTACAGCCCTGGAGTTTCTGTTAGCAGCTTCTGTGCTCCCCTCAAGAGTCCTAAGTGCTCCTCCAGCCTGAGTGCTCTGCAGGGAAATGAGCTGTGTAAACACGAGGGCTGTTTCCTGCCAGGCCCTCCCTGGAGTAGAGCTCCTTGTGATAGGGGCCTTTGAGAGGTGAGGAGGGAGCCTGGAATTCCACATCCTTATAAATGGTGCTATCCACCTTGCCATTCTGACGTGGAGGCAGAGACCCACGCAGCCTGGGGGCTCTGTGTGCAGGTGAGTTTGGCCCCATCCCCTGGGTCTTCTCCAGTGTACAAGTTGCAGGCAGTGAGAAGCAGCCCAGAGCCGCAGCTCTACCTGTGTCCTGGGCTAGGAAGGAGGGGGCCTCCCCATGCTACCTCCCAATCCACAGCACTGTCATTGTGAGTTCAGGAAGACGGATGTGCAAATATTCTTATACCATGTTCCCTGGATTCCCACAGGGGTTCAGCAGGGTCTGCAGGGGAAAGTGAGAGAACAATTCTCTAAGGAGAACGGAGTGGGGCTCCTTACTGACCACCATGAGGGGGATGGCTGTGGGTCCTGTCCACATGTTTTTATTCTCAGGTCCGTGATCCCTTAGAACCTGAAAAGAGGGTCACTGAGAGTAGAAGGGACAGATAGGGTGAGCGAGTGAGTGGGTGACCACATCCCTTCTCTAACAGCCTGATAGAAACAGATCAAGATTGTCTCCAGAGCTCAGAAGACTCAGCTGAAGTCAGAGAGAGGAAGTGAGTTCCCTAAGGTCTCACAACAAAGCACTAATAGATAAGAGGCTCTATCAGAACCTGGGCTTTCTGACCCTCAGAGCTCCTTACTCTGCCCCTCCTCTCCAAGGGGACAACACCACCTCAAGCCACAGGGATGGGGCATGAGATCTGTTAGATACCAAACAAATGCTGCGAATTTCCATGGCTAGCTTGGGTCTTCCCAGTGCTCTTATCTAGATCTGCCCTAGGGGCAGAAATTTGCAAGTGCTGCCTGCTGATGGGCTGTTGGCCCCTCCCTTCTGCAGAAGCAATGGGAGCTGGAACCATGCTGCTGTGCCCTCTGGCCCTCATCCTCACTTTGGTGGCAGCTTCCAACACTGTAGGTGATGTGAAGGATGTTTGTGTTGGAACCCCTGGTGTCCCTGGCACTCCTGGATCCCACGGTCTGCCAGGAAGAGATGGGAGAGATGGTATCAAAGGAGACCCTGGACCTCCAGGTATTGTGTTGGAGACCTCTCCCCTTACCTAAGGGATAGACACCCCTTTTTAGGAGGCCCATCAGCCCAGGACTCTAAGCTAGGTCCAAAAGTTAGCTGTGTAGGACAGGGTGGGAGTTTCCTAGGGGCCTCAGGTTGGGGCATCCTGAAGCATTTATCCTCAAAGTGCCCACAGAGTGACAGATGAGTCAGCCTAGTTGATAATGGAGATACAGTCTTGCTAGCCCCTACCCAGCGGTGGGTGACAGATCCTTCATGTTCCTGTTCCCTTCTTTTTGCAGGCCCCATGGGCCCCCCTGGAGGAATGACAGGTCTCCCTGGGCGCGATGGGCTAAATGGAGCCCCTGGTGTTGCTGGAGAGCGTGGAGAGAAGGGCGAGCCCGGAATGAGGGGTCCTCCAGGTGAGCAGGGTGGGGCAGTGGGAAGAGGTAACATGGGCATCGCCCCTGTGTGGTCACATGGAGACAATGGGGATTAGTCAAACCACACAGGTCCCCAAGGGCATATGGCTCAACCCAAGTCAGAGGATATGAGGTTGAGAAGAGGAATCAGAGGTGCCTGGGTGGATGGACTTGGGGAGACAGTGGGTCTGGTATGGGAAGAGGGAAGCACTGGGACAGAGTCTATTCCTGGGACAGAAGCTATTCCTGGGACTGAGGCACTGGGATACACAGGGTTTTGTACATCATGGGTACCAGGATACCCTCAGATACACAGGGTTTTGTACATCATGGGTACCAGGAGCTCCACATGCAGAGGGATACTCCAAAGCTCTGAGCAGTACTCAAGGTCCGTTAGGAGAGTACAGAGACAATCGTATTTGCTCTTGGAGGAGGGTGGGGAGGGAGCACTGTTCAGAAGCCAGAAATCCCCCTAGAGGTGGGCAGACAAAGCCATGCAAAGGACACGTCAGGAAGGAGGAGCCAGGATGGACTAAGCAGCTACAAACCTACATTAAGGAAGGTGTGTGGGGAGTGTGAAAACTCACTCTAGCCTCGTGGACTCTTTTAGCTTGGGCCCTCAGCAGTGGGTAGGAACAATTACTTATAAGGCAGAACTCTGGCCTGCAGCTGGTAAAACACCTGCTTGATAGCAAGTGGCATCTGTGTTGGTTTCCCCTCATCCCTGGTGGGGTCTCTCCACAGGGCTCCCGGCTTATCTAGATGAGGAGCTCCAAGCCACACTCCAGGACCTCAGACATCAAATCCTGCAGTCAGCAGGAGGTAAGGGGGCCCCTTGGGGTCTCATCCTCAGCACCAGCCTCTAGAACTTAGAGACTTGACAAACAAGTGTGGGCATGCAGGTGTCAGGGAAAGAATGATGCGTTCCTTTCTCGATGTCTTTGGCCCAGAGGAGACAAGCAGATGAAATTTGCTTCCAATGTTCTAGGAAACCAAGTTCTCTGCCTGTCTTGCTTTCTATGGAATCCCAGGAAACCGCACCATCTCTAGCACTAAATAATTGTTAAATGGATGAATAAATGGGTGAGAGCCCTGAGGGGAAATTAGAAGGTAGGATTAGAAGAGGGAGGGAAGACACAGAGAGAGGCACAGATGGATGCCGAGATCGGAGACAGCCTGATGGCAGAGAGCCCAGATGAGGGAGACAGACTCAGGGACAGAGGGCAGTAGACTGGGCAATGGACTGAGCCACACCACTCTGCTCTTAGTCCTGCTGTTGCAGGGATCCATGCTGGCAGTGGGAGAGAAGGTCTTCTCCACCAACGGGCAGTCAGTCAATTTTGATGACATCAGAGAGTCATGTGCCAGAGCAGGTGGCCACATTGCTGTCCCGAGGAGTCCAGAGGAAAATGAGGCCATTGCAAGCATTGTGAAGAAGTATAACACGTATGCCTACCTGGGCCTGGCCGAGGGCCCCACCCCTGGAAACTTCCACTACCTGGACGGAGCCCCTGTCAACTACTCCAACTGGTACCCTGGAGAGCCTAGGGGGAGGGGCAAAGAGAAGTGTGTGGAGATGTACACAGATGGGCAGTGGAATGACAAGAACTGTCTGCAGTACCGACTGGCCATCTGTGAGTTCTGAGGGGCACCTGGGCCCTGAGACAGAGAGGATCCTGTCTTGCTTCAGCCTCCATCCTGAGAAGCCACATGGTCTATGAGATGCTGTAACTCCTTTTCAACAGAATTTCTCTGTGGCTATTACAGCTGGAGGCATCACATCCTCTTCATTCCCTAGATGTGCCCTGACTCTTCCCACATAATCACTGCTTAGTCTTGTCACTCATCTTTGATCCCCTCTCAGATCTGCACTCAAGGCGGCCACTCCCAACCTGGGCCCTTGGTGGGGTGGAGACCTCCTTCACCCTCATCTTGTCTAGTTCCTTCATTTACAGATGGCAACAGGGAGGTCGCAGGGTGGAAGCATCCTCCAAAATCACACATGCTTGACTCCTTGGTCGCTTTACTCTCCTGGTCCCGGTCTCAGCCAGAATTAGCAGTCTTGTTCAGGTACAATGATAGAGATAGATAGACTTCGAGGAAGTTCTAAACATGTGGAGCTAAGGATGCATTCAAGATTATTTGGCATTCTAAGGTCTCTGAGGCATGCCTGGTCAGCTCTCCATGAGGTCAGGGTGCAAGAGGTGACCCAGCATGGCAGTGGTCAACCCAACCCCAGTGATTGACATGTACAATTTACTTCTTTGAATCTTAGGAAGCCAACTCAGCCTCTTTGGCCTAAAAGCAGCCAGCCTAGGCCTCTAGGGACGAGCTCCCCACCCCAAACATAACCCAAATAACTTTCTACTGATGGACATATCCATACCTCACTTCAGATCTCAGTGAGGCAGTCATGCCACTACCCACATCTCTGGCTCTGCTTTCTCCTTTCGTCAATTCATTCAATCAGATAGTTCATTAAGATCAACTGACCGCCAGGTCATAGGCTATCTCTTGGTATGGAAAAGGTTATCTGTCAGTCTTGGGGATATTTATTTATCCCAAGCCTATTTTTCATCTGTGAAATGGGTATAAAATCCTTGCTGCTATTACAATTATTACCATTCCTCCAACTACTAAAATTATTAACATAACTCTTACTACAAAGAGAAACTATTGAGCACATACTATGTACTGAGTACCTTGACAAGAATTTCTAATACATTTTATTAAATATTACTTAATCTTTACACAATAGCATGGGACCAGTATTACTTTCCCCATTTTTTTAATATGTCACTGAAGCTTAGAGAAGTTAAATGCTTTGAGTATTATTATTACATAGAGCAGTGGTTCTCAACCTTCCTAAGGCCGCACCCTTTAACACAGTTCCTGTGCGTCGCGACCCACAGATTGAGAACTGCTGATATAGAGCAAGTGGCGCAGGCTGGATCCAAATCTATCTCCCTGGACCTGAAACTCACACTCCTAAACACCCCACCCCTGAGCTGAACAAAGATGATTTCAGAGCAATAAATCATGAATGTGTTAATATTACTTTCTATTACTTCTTTTTTTCCAAGAAAAAAAACTCATTGGCTCGGCGCCTATAGCTCAACCGGCTAAGGCGCCAGCCACGTACACCTAAGGTGGCGGGTTCGAATTCCCAGCCCGGACCCGCCAAACAACAATGACG